AATATTTTATTTAGAGTTAAAGGGGTGTGTAGATTGTTAGTATTATAATTGTTTTAATTGGATTAATGATTGTAGAAGAATTATGGAAATATGAACTTGATCCTGTATTCAGCTCCGGGAAGCCGAGGAGGGTATGGGGGGAAAGCTAAAGTTAATGTATTGTGTATATTGGAAGATGTATATTTTACAAAAAATAAAATTTTTTACAAGAAAAATAATAATAATTGTTTTCTGTTCCAAGACATGTAGAGTATAAAAACATAGATTTACAGTCAACATCCAGAGGAGCAGCCTCTTCTAGATAGATTCCAGGAGAACATACATGTGTTAAACATGAAAGGTATTTTTAGTAACCAAGACTGTTCAACTTTCTTGCAAATAGCTAAACTGAATCATGGACAGAATGGTATTAGCTGTTGTTGACCTTGTATTTAAAATACTTAGTTATTCATAGAAAATAAACTTTGAATTTAAAGAATAATATACTGTTTGCCTCATTTTATTTTAAAAGTAACCTTCCCAAAGGTTGCCTCCCAATGGCGACTGAATGTAATTCTAATAGTATGTATGGTAAGCCCATTGATGGAAAATAATGGGAATTATAGGTCAACTGGCAACTCTTTTAATCATTCTGACCAATTATATAGTGCCCTTTATGCCATTCACTATCTACTTAGTTGCCCTTAAATGCTGCTAAAACTTCATGCCTGATGGAATTTAACAGTCTTTATGACATAAACCCAATGTGTGATACTGAGCTAAAACAAATCTTAAAAGAACCAGTATGTGAAATATATTAAACTGTTTATAGTATCTGATTTTTGTGACTTTATTAGTACTGTTTAATAAATCTTACAATATGTAAATTGAAGTAAAGTTATAATAAAATTGTCAAGACAAAATAATAAATTACTTTGCTATAGCTGATTTTTCTTTTTCTTTTTTCTTTTTGCTATTAGCTGTGGATGGATTTCTGAAGACTGATGAAAGACAAAGATTAGCCAGAGAAAGAAGAGAAGAAAGAGAAAAATATTTTGGTAAGTTGTATTTTTTTATTCAATAAACAAGAATAATCTACATACAGCCTTGAGTCTTTTGACTACTAACTATACTTAAGAAATAAGTATAGTTAATGTATAGATGGAGAAATAGAGGACCCATCTTGGATTCATTAGGACGCATGTTCCTGCTGTTCTCATCTGGGATCAGAGACATTTATTACTCTTCTAGCCAGTATCCCCAGTCTTCGGCATAGCTACTGTACGTTTTGACATTTCAGTCTACCGATGCTTCGGTATTATTATTTTTTTATACACATTTTATTGGTTTTTTTAATTTTAACATCAAAGTGCTCAGGAAAACACCATGGTGAAAGGGTAATCAATCATAACAAAACAAGTCATATATATATAACTAAAATTAAAACCTTAAAAAAAAATTCCCCCCTCTATTTCCTCACATGATATAACAAATTTAGTTTAATCTATTTCTTCTTAAAATTCAATCAATCCACGGAAGCATCCCTACTATTACATCTACATAAATCACTCCTGCTTTTAAGCTCCACTAATTTCAATTAAAATATTCCAATTGATCTTAAACAAACATATTAATAAAATTTTGGGTATCCCTTCTACAACACACATAATATTCCAAGAATAACATTCTAATATTTTCACATATATTCCATCTCTTAATTTAATACATCATTAATTAATACCCTTTCTTCTCTTATCATAGATCTAATTCTTCTGCTATTACAAAATAGTTTTCTATATAAACAGAATAAAAAAACAAAAAAATCATTTCGACCTCTTAAGTAAAATTTAACTCTCAACCAAATTAACTATCGTATCTAAGACAAACATATTATTACACCAATTATTATCTTACTGCTTTCATTTACTCAATTAGATTGTCAAATCAGTCCAAATTTCTAAAGCCTTTTTGACCCAATAATTAAGATTTTAAATCACATTTTTGAATCTAACTCTGGCTTTTTTTCTATACCAAGCTGGTTTCCGTAATGTCGCATCTATGTCACCAAATCTCAGTATTTGAGTACTAATGTTTATCAACAAATCGATCTGATCAAAATCTCTTCCCCTTCTTCCAGTATCATATAAGCAATATAGTCCATTTTATTCCATATTATAATTTCAGCTTGATTATCCAGGTTGTCATAACTTTCAATCGATCGTGTCTGGCTGTCAGTTCCTGTTAATTTTGGCAATGGGAGAACTTCACTTATAGTCATTTTTTGATCTTCAAAGTTCTCCATTTGTACATAGACTTGTGAAATATCCTCCTCTGTAGTAGTTAGTTGATTTATAAAGTAATTATTTAAAGTCTCAATCTGGGGTTTTGGGTCCAGAATTTTTCTAAAGTTCAATTGATCAGTAAGTTCTTCCATCTCAAATTGTGTACACTATTGCCTATAAGCTTCTTCTTGGCCTGTAGGTTGGTTTTTTAAAATTTGGGGCTCAGTTTGTGATTCTAGAAGATGGTCTTTAGTTTTTCTCCATGACTTCATCTCCTCTGTCATTTCCAATATTTTTTCCAGTATCAGCTCATAATCCAGTCCAGAATTCAATTGATCAGTAACTTCTTCTTCCATCTCAGATTGTGTAAACTGTTGCATATAGGCTTCTTCTTGGCCTATAGGTTGATCTTTTAAAGTTTGAGGCTCAGCTTGTGGTTCTGCAAAATGATCTTTAGTTTTTCTCCATAACTTCATCTCCTCTTGTCATTTCCAATATTTTTTCCAATATCAGCTCATAGTCAAGCTGTGGGTAAAAATCTTCTATTTCCATAGTAAAAGAGTCTTTTAATCTTTTTGTGGAAACTATATTTATTAAGAATCCATATACATCCGCCTCCACAATTTTTAAATCACAAACACAACCCACAGCTGTTTCCAAGCCTTTATCTTTTCTTCTTGTTAATTCCTGAAGTAGTATTCTCCAAACTCCAAGACAAAGACATTAGAATTGCAGTAAATATTTTCGCCACAAGATGTCCTCAGTAAGCTATAGAAAGCTTTTCTTTGCAGTTAAAAGCCTTTATCTCATTAAGAATGACAACGAAAGAGACAGAAAAAAGCAAATATCTTCAAGTAAGTAAAATAATGCTCTAAATTAGGAATCTTTCCAGGGATGCCCAATATCCAAAAGGTTCAAAATATAATAAGTACTATTCTGAAGTTTTGTTTAAAGTATTTTTTTCCCCAAACAGACAGAAACTGCTCTCTTAGAACAAGGAAGTCATCTAAAAAGCAAGCTCTTTGCAGGAAAAATAGTTCAGAATGAAGAGAGGGAGGAAAGGTCTCACCCGGATTCACCACGGTGGTTCTTTATGCTTAGATGATTTTCTGACTTCAGCTGGCACAGCGAAGTGATCGGCCATTTTACTGACCGATCTTCTTCTCCATCAGCCCTACGGAGTTAGCTTGGACTGTAGGGGGAGCTGCTGCTCCACCGCAGCCGAGCAAAAGCCTCATCGACAGTGGTCGCCCCTCCAGGGCGATTTGAGACCCGCATAAGGGTCTACCGGTAGAGAGAAAACAGCCAACAAAGAGCAACAGCTCTTTGTATGGCTGAAGGTGCCGTGATCCGGAAGCGGAAGTCCCGATGCTTCAGTATTATTAAAGCAATAAGAGCCCCCTGAATATGATCAGAAACATTTGGGAATTAAGCAAGCAGGGCTTTTTTTTGTCATAGAACGCCCAGAATGGAGTTCCGGCACCTTTTTTGGATGGAACCTTGTAGGGTAGGCAAGGTGGGTTGTATGATGTGTGTGAGTTCCGGCACCTTTTTTTTTTTTTTTTTTTACAAAAACACTGCGAAGCAAGCAGCATCCATTTAGAAGAATGAGGGATGTCCTGATCTAGTTTCACTCTATCAACTATTATGAACTCAGAGTAAACTTCTCTCGACTTAGTAAAGTATGCATATGGAAAGTTTACTCATGCTCTTATATTATATCCAGATTTCTTGGCTTGTATCTAATTTCCTAGGAAAAAATATTATTTTTTCTGCATAAACAACTATTCATCTGGCACAAGCATATATTAGATTGAATGTGCATTTGTTTTCAAGAAAATAAAATGTCAGTGAGCTCAGTGCAGTTTTATTTTGTATGTTATTTCTTTATTTGACAACTAATTCTAGTTAATATTTAACTGTAAAAGAGCTGTAATGAAATATTGCAATGCATAGGGTTCCTGTTCAAGAAAGTTAAACCATTTTTTTTAATTCAACAGATATTTGGTACTCTGTAACTACATGACTTTCTTTGACCTGTTCTGGTGATTTTCTCTACTAGAAATTGTCGCTCAGTAACATTTAACATAATTTCCCTTAGAACATTTGTTTTCTATACAGTATATACATATGCAAACTTGGGGTCCATCAAAGCTTCTGATAACTCCACCTAGGTCTTCATTGGTATTGGTCTGACTGCCTAAGGACTGGTTATTTATAGTTTAGATAACAGTTGAAATATGTGGCGTCAAGTTTTATTTGAGATTTTTAATTTATTCATTTTATTATAAGCTGTCAGAGAGCAGCAAATCTTAGAAAAAGAAAGAAGAGCAAAGCTTCAGTATGAGAAACAAATAGAAGAAAGATGGAAGAAGTTGGAGGAGCAGAGGCTGAGGGAGGAGCAAAAGAGGGCAGCTGTGGAAGAAAAGAGAAGACAGAAGCTTAGAGAAGAAGAGGTAGGCAGTTGTATGCAGTATTATTATTACCATATTTGCTGAGATGATGATTTGGAGAAAATATTTGAACATGATTTTTTTAAATATATTTTTAAATTTGTGATCCCCAAGTGCTTAGAATATTTGCTTTTTTGTTTGATTAAATATATTTGTATGCTCAGCATACAATTCAGGATAACATCCTTATCAGTAAACTAATGAACAAATGATAAAAGGGAAAACGTAAAAGAATGGGGATCTGAAGAACTGAAAAAAATGCAGTCAACAGGAGTGCATTCTCTCAAGACAGTAATATTAGTGTTTTAATTTCTTTGGAGTAAAGACTCTTTGTGTGTTTTTAATACTTCAAAGATGCATTCCTATTAAGTAGCAGATTTTATAGAAGAGAATTTGGCACCCTTTAGAGACAGTAGGGTTGAGCCTGATGCTTGGCTGTGGTTATATTGAATGTAGGTTGTCATGAGGGTTTTCAGTTGCTATTTTATTGATTTAATGTTTTTATAAAAAATGTTGGTTGTTTTGTATTCTGTTTTAACTGTTATGTCTGAAAGTCAACCCCTTAAATGAAATGCTATAAAATGTTCAATATTTTTTGAAAATAAGAAAGTTGTTTGAATATATATATATATATATATATATAT